GGGTATTGCCTTACGAGCCACCTTCTCTATATTGCGAACTGGAATACTGTCTGTCGTTTGCATGTACGTGCCTGCAAACTGCGACTGTGCAGACAAAAGTCATACCTCAGTCATGCAGAAATAAAAAAGGTTAGTGTATGGGGGTGCCTCAAATATTGTTGCAAAAATGGTTCTGCCCATCAAGGAGAAGTGGGCTAACAGAGGATGGGGGGGATGTGCCGGAGGGTGCGCAGCTCCCTGTTCTGATGGGCTCGGTGTGCCCTGGATGGCCAGGGGTCATACAGAGTTAATTTTGAGGAAGGGGCTTATCACTGCACGAAAGACCCCTCACGACGACTGGAGCTCCCCAGGTAGCCCAGACCCATTTCTCAAAGTTTCTGAAGCAAAGATTACGCACGTGCCAGTGAAGGGAAATCCCCTCCCCTGGGACGGAGCTGAAGCCTATAAAAGGAGAAGTTTCAAGGAGCCACACACGCGCCCACCACCTGAGGACCACAACCAGAAGACAGACCATTGCTGGATTCAAGGGTGGTGATACCCCTCCTTTCTCTTTTCTTTCTCTTACGTCTCTCCCCCCCATCTTTTTCCATCTCTGTTTCTATAATTCATTCCCGGCATAAGGGTAATGTTGTTAAGAGTGTGTTGTATTTCATTTGGGGCTCATATGGGTAATATTGTTAAGAGTTTGTTGTTGTAATATAGTCATAACTTTTGCCAAGCCACTATCTGTTGTGATCTGGCCAAGTTTTCAGTAAATGTGTGACTTTGAACCTCTAGAGCGATTGTTGTCACTCAGGATTACCGTGCAGAGAATTTAAAAGTTAACCTCACCCTCACCGACCGAGTGGGGATGGAAGTTAAACTGACATCATGGACAGGATTCTCTGTGGAAAGCAGTAAAGTGGTTTCATAAACAGCGATATCAGTCAGAGTGCTGAAGAAAGGAGAACTGATTTTCAGTTGAAGCCGAACTCTCCGGCAGAAGATCATGGCAACCTGGGAGAAGCCAGATCTTGACTGCTCCCTGCTGTTGGATTTATTAAAAGATTATAAAGCTTGCCCGACTCCAGAGGAGCATAGCTGGACTGGGGAACATTGGCAATCTCTGGCAACTGTGGTGAAACGGATTAGAGACTTGGCAAAAGAGAACCGCTTTAGCCTTGAAAAGGGAAGGCAGTGGATTGTGGTGTTCTGGGAGCTGCGTTAATAGCTGCCCAGAAGGATAAGCATGTTGTTGAACAAACTGAGTGGGAGGAAAGTGAATCTTTGCAAAATCTGTCTAAAACTTTACAGGCAATATTGGAAGTAGAGCGAGTGAGGTGGCAACAAACCGAAAAGGCATTAGCCGATGAGAAATGAGTTACAGAAAACTCACAGGGTAGCTTGCAGGATGCTTTTGTGAGAGAAATGGAGTTGAAAGTAAAACTGGCTGGCTGTGAGGACAACCTGGAGAGTGAGCTGGGATTCTCCAGTCTAGCAAAAGACCGGTTGCACCCCATTGCTGTGGAAGGAGATGGAAGCGATGATGGAATCTGATCCCACTCCCAAACTCTGGCCCCTTATTAAAACTGAAGTTGTATACAACAGCGAAGATGCCAAACCTGCTATTACCACCGAAGAAACACCTTATACAGACACTGAACTGGCAAAATTACAGGAGAAATATAGCAGGCAAGTCAAGGCAACTGAGATTGAACATGTGCGGAGGGTCTCCTTAACAGGCAGAAACAGAATAAGGCTTTCGGAAGAAGAGACTCAGGGATATTGGGGTCCTTGAGTATTTTTGATGGTCGAAGACAATTGGGAATCCTGGTCCCTGACTCAGAGGGTGGCATACTAGGCCAGAGGGTTAGACCCCTTGGAGAGGAGAGATCCCATCGCCATTCCCACCTCTGGGGTAAGCCAGCTTACCAAGATTATACAAAAGGCAGCCTGCCTCCAGCTGATGCACGATAGGCATTTAGTTCCCCATCAGCCTTCTCCTATGTTGTTGTTTGCCAACCCAGACAGAATGACCCCTTTGATGAGAGGACTCTTAGCTATGCTGGTGAGAGAGGGGGAAGGGGAGAAGTGGGAACACCTGCTGGAGTGGCTGCACTTTAGGCGTGGGCACTGATGAGTTAAAGACCTTTTCAATGATTTCTATGATTCAAGGAGGCTGGGAGTAGAGGATGGCCTGTTACTTGAGAATTGTGTAACACAATAATTTCTGCTTGTTGCCTATGCCATACCAGGCTGGAAAAACACCCTTTGCAAGATCCCCCACTTCATCTACGAGATGGGAAAGGACTATGGGAAACCTGGCAGGTTGACTACATAGGACCTTGTAAGAGATTGGAAGGGAAACAACACGAGCTAGTTGGGATGGAGGTGGTATTGGAACTCATGCAGGCTGGAGCGGTGACGTGAGTAACCAGGGAAAATACAATGAAAGAGTTGTAATTATGGTTTAGATTTTTATCCAAATCCAAACCAATCCAATTGGATAATGGCAGTCATTTTACTGCTGGGGTGGTCCAAGAGTGGGCAAAAACTGAGGTAATACACTGGACTTTTCATATCCCCTACTATCCCCAGGCCAACAGGATAGTAGAGAGGACGAACGGTCTCTTAAAACGTTTCCTAAGGCCCATGACCCTGGATGGCCCACACAACTCTGGGAAGCTGCGACTAAAGTAAATAACCATTGGGGAATTAATGGGTGCCTATGGATTAATGCATTCTACCCTAAACCCCCATCCATACTCCCTGGGGAGAAAGAGACAAAAGACCCTACAAGTTCCCCTCACTACCTGGGACAACCTGTCCTAGTTGAACTACCTACAACAGGACAAGTACCACTAGTCCCAAAAACTCCAATCAATGTACATGCGTGGGTAGCACCTGATGCCCATGGGAAGGAACATCAAATTAACACCAGATAGATTAATCAGTCTTTCTGGTTACTGATTCAGAAGAATCAGGATTTTTTTTTTGTTCTCTTTTCATGTCTAACCACCAGGCGCAGCCTTCTCCTCAGAAGTCAAAGCCAATGTTGGTTTTGGAAATTTCTATCACTGTTGTATTATTATGCTTCATAGTTTTATATTTTGTATTTGTCAGTAATCTGTAACTTAGATCATCATAACTTGGGTTTTTTTTATGTTGTTCAGGAGCGAACAACCAGACTATGATTATTGGAAGCGATCTGCGCCAACAGCCACGGACTCGGTTGTTTATCCTCCATTTTCCCCTGTTTATGATACACGCTGTAAGTCCAGATACCCTGAATTTA